TTTTTTTGAGGTGAAGGGAATTGTCCCACACCACCATCTCCCTAGCGCACGCTGAGCTCCTTCCAGTTCAGCTTTTAGGAGAGCAAATCTTTTAGGTCCCTGAGCTTGGACAGAGACTCGTGGCACGTGTGTGAGGGACAATACGCAGTGTGCAGGAGTGTGTACCTCCTAGCGGTCTGCCCCATGAGCCTTTTGTGTTCACGTGAGTGGAAATGGGCCAAGACAGTGGCAATTAATCTATGAGGACCCTCCCAGGAGGAATCATGCTAGGATTTATCCTCCTGATAGTGTGGAGCTATGTGGCATTTACTCTTTTTTTTTTTTTTTTTTTAAATCACCTGGTGGTATTCCAGATGTGGTCAATATTGCACTATAACCTGATGACACCCTCTGGTCTGGTTGCTCCAAGCCTAATTTACTGGGCTCTGTACTTAATCAAAAACGAGACACAAGAAAAATCCAAGCCAGACACGCCTTTTTGGCCTAAAAACAGGAACGAAAATCTGCATTCATTTAGCTAACTCTTGTGTCAACACAGAGCACGTTTCCAGTTCAGTGCTCTTTATGTAACATTTCCCTAGTACAACACATGGTGGGCTTTGCCAAGCGCGTTCGAGGCTGGAATGCAAGGGTTGCTCCAATCCAAACATTACCGGTGCTACCAGCTTCTTTATTACAGTGAAATATCTCTTATGAATGAGATCAGTGTTGTGTAACAAGTTCTCATCAGTGAGCGAGCTGCCGCTCTAGATAGAGCGTTTCCTTTGCTAGAAGCGAAGAGATGTAAGTACAGAGCCAGCATTTCTCTGATACAAGGCATTGTTAGCTGTTGATACCGTTGTGTTTTTGTGGGGCACTGAAGAAACGGTCTGACTTTTATGAGCAGATCTCAGAATCTTTGTTTCACTTCCATTGGTGGTATAAGTACAAGCCAAGCTCATGTCTCAAATGTAGGAAGATATTTTGAAATTTCTCCTGTAAAGACCACTGAGATATAAATTGACATGGGGGCAAAAGGGGCGCTGGATATGAAAACAAACCAAAAGGAGACAATTGGAAAATAATTTGATCTCAGGGCCCGTAAAGCTGGCCTTCATTCCAGCAGTCTTTGCAAGAGAAAAACTTCCAAAGTGTTTGCAAACTCATGTTATTACTTTAGCGCGTTGCATTTTTATTTCCAGAAAATGCTGAATGTTTGTTAATTGTACAGTTGTTTATTAGATATTACTCTTGTTAACATAAAAAAACAGATTACTTCTGACTTTGTTTGTACGGATGTTCAGGAGTCCCCAGTATTGTGTTAAGAGCTTAAGGTATAGTCCTGCTCTCCTCACAGTCAAAAATGTGTTTGCCCAAAGTGTGGTGGCTGTGTTTCGGTGTGGCTGTGTGCATGTGTGCGGTGGTGTGTAGCATGCCAGCCGTTGACTGTGTGCTTCTTGCCAAGCCATCCTCCATGTTGTGATTGCCTCTGTTTTTGTCCCTTTCTAGAAGCTGAGGAACTGTACCAGAAACGCGTGCTGACCATAACTGGCATTTGCATTGCTCTTCTAGTAGTTGGCATCATGTGTGTGGTGGCCTACTGCAAAACCAAGTAAACTTTTCTCTTCCTTTCTGCATTTGTGATCGCTGGTCAGGGCCTTCCCAGTTAACTGTAGTTCTTACTCCTCTGAGCATGAAGTTGTAATCTGGGTTTCTCCAGACTTGAATCAAAGAAACAAACCTATGGCTAGAATACTTTCATCCAAGCCAGGCAGGTACAAGCATCTCTGTCTAACAACAGTGCAAAAATAAGAGAGTTATCTGACTGGCTTCTCACGTTTCAAATGTGGAACAAGTGAATTTCACTGGCTTGCAATTCTTCATTTATTAGATGTTCGTGATTTCTCCAGCTGAGAGGGAGCAAACCCTAACATGGAAGTCATGTTGCTATCAAGCAGTAAATTTTAAGGACTGACCAAGTTGTTTTGTATTTGAGATCAAGGTTAACAGCAGCAAGAGTTAATAAATGCCAAAGGCCAAAGAACTGAGTGCAAAAGAGCTCCCAGTGCAAAAATTTCCAGTTAAATGCAAACTCTGTGCATTCTGTGGTGTCTCCATAAATTACGGGGGCAACTCTCAGCCATGCATAAGGCATTTTGGACCATAAATTCTATACAACATCAGCAGGATTTGTGCTGCCAAATGTGCTGGCTGCTCTTATAAATCTCCCCACCAAAACACGAAAAGCCGTCATCGTAAATCTTCCACATTTGTATAAACCTGTAGATTTACTGTTGTAGGTCCTGATCTGCAATTGGGTCTCTGCTTTTCCTTGGAAGCCCCACCCATAACTGATGCGGTGGGCAGGGGGACACACATCAGCAGCCCCCCTCCAGCCACACACACACTGCTCCCGGCCACAAGCTATCTGCCAGTGGTCTGCTGGGAGGTGGGAAATCACTGAAACAATAATAAACAAACAGATCAGTTATCGTTTTTGCAAATGACAACGGGCAAACCGGGGCAGCTGAGCAACAACTTTCCTCATCCCGAGTTCACTGAAACCAGTCAAGAGATCCCCATGAACTTCAACAAACATACAGTCAGGGTACTGAAGCACAGTTTTTTTGTGTGAAGTGCTCCTGGAATCCACTAGAGGCATGAACACATTACCGGGGTCTGTCCAGGACATTAGAGATCGTTGCCAGCCAGAGCTAAAATGTTTTCAAACGTGGCTGGTGAGAGTGAAAGGGAGCTGCCAGTTCACAGCCCTCCAAATGCCGCAGGGATGCCAGACTACTGTCCATGAAGTGTCCTGCAGGTGTGACTTCCTCCTGCTGGGGGAAAATCCAGGAACCCAGGGAAATCCTGCAACAGGCAGAGGAGAGCACACTAACGCACTTGAAATGGCTTAGACCTGGTGGGTCTCCTTGCATCAGATACTGCTGATCGAGTGCTAAGAAAACATCTTCTAACACTGAGTCTCAATTCAGAAGTGCTTTAGTTGCAAATCAATCACCTTAAGTGAGAGGCTCCCCAGAAAAAGTGAAGCATGCATTAGCTTTCCCGTTATTCTGCCCTCTCAGTTTCCTGGAGTAATTCCTTTTTTTAGTTAACTGCCTTTAGCTAGAGGACAAATGGCACACATGGAAGCACAGAAAATGCAAGTATGTGGATAATTGAAGGTCAGAAGTTATGTGGATTCCTAGGCACAGATTCCCAGGCAATAGATACTAGGCTTTCAGGCCCATAGATGATGAACTTTGTGTGTCTACCGGCTAGCTGTAGCTTAGTTATACTCCAAACACAAAGCCCACATAGACCAGGGACCGCCTCCTGCTGGGACAGCAGCGGTCCCATGGCAGCCGTGTATGCTAATACCTTTCATGTGCAGTCAAATAAATTAACTGTCTTCCACTATCCAGGCACACACACACAGACTGTAAAAATGCAGCGCGTCAAGCAACGTTTTCTTTGTCTTTAAGCTTCCCTGGCTATCGAGCGTCAACATTTTTATAGTTCTCCCTCCCCTCTCCATTTTGGCAAGCCTGAAGTAGTCCTCTTGAGCTCAGAGTGGGACTGAAAATGGTTATATCCTACAGTGTCCTACCCTGCCAAAAAAGTCCGCGTTTCTGCGTACAGCTCGGGGAGCTGCGTGTGCGTTAGCTCCTGCCACTGCCAAGGTCACACGCACTCTGCAGCGCATTGGAGCCTGCGTCCTCCTTTTGTTTCCCTGGACTGTGTAGCAGGATGGTGGATGTTTTCCAGCATAATCAGGCAAGACTGGGGAATATTGATAAATTAAGTCAGCAATTGAATTGAACTGTCCACAGTGACTTGTTTTAATGTAACATCTAGTGCATTCTGCATGGCTTCCACGGTTTCAAGTTCTAGCGTGCTGCAAGCTTTGTTACTGGCGGCTCATAATGATCTCCTGAAAAGTTTTCCTGAGGAGCAGAAGGACTAGCAAATGGGGAAGGACCAGTTGAGGTCTGGGCATAATAAGAAGCATCCAAATCAGCCACAGACTGTGGCATTAGTGTGAAAGATGGATGGCTCTGCTGAATGGCTTAACAGCCCTGATATCCATCTGATAATCATTGGGTTCCAGAGTTAATCTGATGTTGCTGTAAGGAAATACTTCAGAGCTGCCAGGCTGCCTGCAGACTCAGGCATACCTCACACACTCACTCACTTTGGACTTCTGAGACTTTGCTACGTTGTCTTCTTTAACACAGTGGAAGCTGAAGTTTTGGAGTGCACTGCTGCCGTAGGGGACAAAGTCCACAAAAAGTCTCCAGCTGCAATATCTCAGAGGACCCTAGGCCTGGTAACTTTGTCGTTAACAAATGTCTTGGTCTGCCTGCAGAGCAAAAAAGGCAGAGAGCTGTCAAACGCTCACATGCTACATTTTTTAATGACTGTGTGCAAGCTCTAATAAAGGTGAGGCCGTTCTGTTCTGTGTGACTGCTTGCTTAGCTGTAAGCGGTGGCAGCTCCACGAGGTGAATGGAAATAAGCATAATCTACTGGTCTGTCAAGGATGTGACCCCGGCCTTGGTGAGGGTGACAGGGTGATTGGGTTAAAAACCTTGCCCCTTTTCCATTTGAATGCAGAAAAATGTCACTCCTGAGACGGAATGCAATTTGGAAATGGCTTTCTTCTTCCCCACACTTTTTCATGTCCCTCTGGGCCTGCTGACTCTTGGAAGGGCTCCTGCACATCTTTCCCCCTCTGCAGGTCCCCACAGCCCCAGCTGCAATTAGACCTGAGGTGTTAGGAGTTACTCTGAGATCTTGCAGCAGTGGGGAAAGTGTTGGCAATAGAGTGCTTTTGTATTATTGCTATCATCATCATCATCATCATGCTGGAAGGTGCAGCTGCTTTTCTTTTGTCTATTAAAACCTTTTCTGTGTTTCGTGTACAGGAAGCAGAGGAAGAAGTTGCACGACCGCCTTCGGCAGAGCCTGCGCTCAGAAAGGAACAACATGGTGAACATGGCTAACGGGCCGCATCACCCCAACCCGCCGCCAGATAACGTCCAGCTGGTCAATGTAGGTTTTGCTGCCTGTATTTCAAGCTAGATTGCTGGTGCCACAGCAAAACTTGTCCCGCAGTTTTTAAACTTGTACCTACCGCAAGGCTGGTTACTGAAGTCTTTTGGCTTTCTCCACCCAGAAACATTTAGAAATTAAGCTGTAAACATGCAGCAAAACAAGAAATATTTCCACAGATGGAGCCTGCAGCAGTGCTGCAGCTGAGCCTGTGGGCCCAGGACACCAGAAGCAGCAAAAACGCCTCCAAAAAATAATGAGTAACAGCACTACAGTAGGGCTGAGCTTGTCCATAGGGATCATTTACTGCAAACAGATATGTATGTGTCTTATTCTTCCTACCGCTCCTGGCTTGATGGCAGGTGAGTAGAGCAGGCCACCCTTGATCTGGAGCATGACACTATAAACTCATCCTTCAAGCTCACAGACACCATGAGCACCCAGGTAACAGTGATCACTGTAATTCCCAGTCCTGTAGTCATCAAAAGCAAGTTTCTTGCCTAGAGCAGGAATAAAAAAAATATGTGACGTTTTATATGAAGAAGGCAAAGGAGTTAGGTGTCACCAAACAAAATGCTGCTGCTGCAGTAGGAGAGGAAAAGTAGCAAGGAATTAAAAAAAAAAAAAACATACCTCAGGAGTAGAAGCCTGGATGAAAACCTCATTTGCATAATAGCACAGGATGTGTGTTTGGCCAATGAGATGGAGCTGTGGCAGATACGCCACCAGCATCCCTCCAGCCGTTTGTCAGAGCAAAGCGCCAAGCCGACAGCTATTCACAGCTTGCACTAGCCTCTCTGAGAGAGGCTGGGGTTTGCCCTGTGCACAACCACTTCTTCCTTTCCACCCTTCCCCACGGAAGCCCAGTGTCCAAAGACAGAGTCGGATTCCTGCAGCCTTGAGCCATCCCGGCTCTCCTGCTCCAGCATCGCTGTAAATATTAGCAACAGCTCAGTGCAGGGCTCCGAGAAGTCAATGGCAATGCTCCCACTGCCCTTAGTTAAGGCCAAGACACGGAAGAGCTCAACTTCCAGCATTTCCCCTTAAAAGACCTAAATCTACGGTCAGGGTGCTAAAAGTGGGGAAAACAGGAAACCCTGCTGAGAAGAACAGGTAGTCTCACCAGCAAGCAGCATCTCTGCTGAGAGCGGTGGGGACCCCATGGAAAACCTGCGCAGGAGGTTGGGCGCTGCACATCTCCGGCATCACGTGCACAAGGCTTTTGGGCTGCCCTGCAGACCACCCCCTAAAAGCTAAAGAGTAGGTCTGCTCTAGTAGGGCAGCCATGTGACGTGGTATCCTTTGGCACTGAAAATAGCCATTTCCTGCCCAGATTCTTACAGTGCAATGAAGAAACGAATTAATTAACTACTGCTGTGTTCTCCATCACAGAATAGTATTTTTGATGTATCTGGTAGCAACGGGTGGGTTGCCTTTCCAAGCCTCGGTCCATGAGGACTTCTCATTTTCTTTTAACATATGCATGTTGTTTATAGCGTGGTTGGGATACAGCCCTTTCTTAATCTCCTCATTTGCTTCCTGCTGTTTTCACTTTAGAGAGGACGTGTACAGAGAGATGTATATGAATGTGCTAGAGTGTGTTTGGGAAACAAGGTTTGTGCTTTGGTGTCTGTAAAAAACTGATTCTTTGTGAAAAGAACAAACAAAAAGAAATATGTCTGCAGATGTGCGTGAATTCCAGCCTGTAAACCTGAGATTTGTGTGGGTTTTTTTTTCAGCAATACGTTTCAAAAAACATAATCTCCAGTGAGCATGCCGTTGAGCGAGAAACAGAGACCTCGTTCTCCACAAGCCACTACACTTCAACCACGCATCACTCCACCACAGTCACCCAGACACCCAGCCACAGGTACTGGGGTGGGGACACAAACAGCAACTGTTAGCAAAACAGTGTTAGTTCTGCTGCTGTTGCCCAAGCAGAAAAAATGTGTAAAAAGACAAACCTAGAAAATCTGTGCTCCTTTTCATAGGGTTTTAGTTTCAAGATTAATGGTACTTGACGTCATGTCACCTAACTAATTATCTTTCCAGGAGTTTACAAAGAGCTTTATTCACTGAATGGCATGCCAATGCTGATGCTGTGAATTGTAGTATGAATGGTAGTAAGAATTAGTATGAATTTTAGTTGTGAAATTTTAGTATGAATTTTCAGTGACAAGCCCTTTATTTTAAAGAGTGGTCTCCACTCCTGATGGCTGAAAAAGCTCCTTCTCCTTCCCTTTATCCACAGATGCATAATCATCTTGATGCGCATGGGTTCATACAGCTTGCAAAACTCTGGAGCCCCAGTTACCAACCCCGGGGTTACGTTCCAGAGCCGAGTTGTAACATAGCCCTTGCTCTCCCTGGTTAAACTTCTCGTTTCTTCTAAAAGTTCATTGTGGACTTCCTCTAAACAGCTAGTCCACATTCTCCTGGTTCATATTTACAACCAAATCGCCCTCTCACGCTCTCCTCCCTTTTTCTCCTTCTCCAGTTGGAGTAACGGCCACACCGAGAGCATCCTTTCCGAAAGCCGCTCCGTGCTGGTGAGCTCCTCCGTGGAGAACAGCCGACATGCCAGCCCTGCAGGGACGCGGGGACGCCTCAACGGCATTGGTGGGCCACGGGAGAGCAACAGTTTCCTCAGGCATGCAAGAGAGACCCCCGACTCCTACCGAGACTCTCCCCACAGCGAAAGGTACTGCAACCACCTGATTGCCGTGGGCTGGTGAGGCCGGGTGCTCTCCAGTGGTTTTAGGCTGCAACGATGCTGTGCATGCGGGGCATACCTCTCCTCACTCGTAAATAGTAGTTTAAAGTCTGCCAAACACATCTTCCCTTCCTGCCTCTTCTGGACTTGATCTTGCAGGTAGCAGGTCACATTTGGATATGGTCCATCAAGAGTTCCTTAGCAGAAATTTTCATTGTCAAGTATACAATTTGCAAGCTAGAAGAAGCCAGACCACTAATAAATCAATGGTAATTACGAACAAAAGCTGGCTGGGAGTTTTCCAGGAAAGCAACTTTTTCTCAGAAAAGGTTGGTTCATAAATACCTAAAGTATGCCTTGAACTAGATCAGCTGAAAGAAAACTTTCACTGGAAAGGGTTCTCACCTAGGATTATTATCTCAAGAGCAGGGGTTGGCCCAAGAGTAGCAAAATAAAAACTGAGAACATATGAGGAGAGTTTTAATCCCAACAGTCAGAAGGAGAAGACAAACTATTACTGGATCAGTTCTTTGAGCGCTGTGAAATTGCAAGGGGTTTGATCTCGTGGGAAGTCTATGACATCAAAAGTATAGTTAGCAAGCCCCAGGGAGACTCAGTGGTGTAGGAGACATATCATTGGCTTCCAGAAAAATGACTGTGCAAGTGGAGCAGAGCCATTTATATGGTGTTCCCTCCGCTACACAAAGAATTGCATATTAGCAGGGCAATGAACCATGGCTGTGAGCTCTCTAAGCATGGTGGGACTACGCAAAGCATCATGAATCTCGCTTTCGTCTTACTGTAGGTTTCTTGTGAAAAAGTATCTGTAATTTTCAGGAAATGTGGCTCACATGACATAAACAGCCATGGCCCCAATCCAGCAGAGCACTTAAACACATGATTAACTTTTAATCATGTGAGTAGTCCCACTGAAATCAGTGTGATTACTCATATGGGTACAGCTCAGCACGTACTTAAGTGCTTTGCTGGATCAGGCCCTATAGCAGTAAATATTGCATTGTCTCCTGCCTGGGAACCATGTGGATTGCCCTGCCACGCTCCTGCAGGTGACGTGTACTATAGCTTAATATATTTGGGACTCTGCATTTGAGGAGCAAAGATCGTTTCCTCAGTCTTTCTGAATTGCCTTGAACACCCTAAGTGGCATTATGATATAAAGTATGTGTATTTTAGCAGGAGGAAGAGGAATTTGTATCTTTCCATTTCAATTAGAAGAAAGAAGGCATTTTGCAAATTATTGCGTTTCTTGAAGATTACATTAGAGAGGAGAAATCGCAGCATTTCTGCAATAATTCACCAGGCACCAATGGCTTAGCCTGTGCCTTAGATGACTGTGAATTCAGAATACAGAAGATATTTCCCTGGGCATTAAATTAGGCCTCATCTATTTTTAGCATGCAGGAAATACATGGCAGATTATTTCTTAGAGATGGATTGCATGTATGCGTGTGTGTATAAGGCAGAAAATGAGAGTTGTTTGCAACTAAAAATGACTCTGAAACAGAAAAGTATGTGCAAGCTAACAAATGATTTCCTGAAGCAATCAAATGTTGCTGTGCAGTGAATTAGTAAATCAAGGCTGGGTTTCCTCCATCCTCCAGTCCTTTGAAATCTTTCAAAATTTTGAAATAAAATCAGAATAGACTTTATCAGGCGGGATCTGTTGAGTCCCTCCATTGGATCCCATGACGTGAGTGGAGTCACCTCTATTTTTGAAAGTCTTTGGATATCTTACAAAAGAGAAGCTCATAAATACTGTATCTGCTGTGAAAGACTGGGTTATGTGATGAAGTTAGCAGTGTTTAGCTAGCTTTATCCTGTCAACGGAGTGTGGATATACTCTGAGCCCCTTTCGCTGCACCAGCGTGGTTCACCTTATTTGCCATGAAGACAGTTAAAACTACTACTTTTTAACCTTCCCTTTGGGACAGACTCGGGATAGAGCTCTGCGTGTTCAGCTCCTGTGCCTCAGCTCGTAGACAGTAGCTGGTTAACACTAGCCCACTGCAGTGTGTGGGAATACACAAGAACTGGGTGAATGCAAAATGCCTTTACTGTGATGGAAAAGACTCTGCAAAGAGCACTGAGCAAGTTTAGCTAACTTAGTGCCTTAACTGAACGAGGTTAGCTGAACTCCAGTGTGTCAAGATCTAAGTACATACCAGTATCAGCCGGGGAGGTTGGAAGGTGTCAGTTCTCAGCTATTTAAGTGTTGAAAGGATGAAAAACTCACTAATGTAAGGAAAAACTTAAATGTATGTATATATGTCATTCATTCAATGCACAGACGTGTCAATTCACGTTTGCTCTCACCAGTGACCAGCTTAATTAATTCTCGTGCATAACTCCAGGATTTTAATTTTCTTCCTCGGTTACTGTAAATCAGTGTACCTCTACTGAAACCAATTTTCCCCACATAACATCAGTTTAGGATCAGTTCTGGTTTCTCTCTCATCTGATAGCTCTGTTTTAGTCAAGAGGAGTATGTGGAACTGAGTCAACCAAGGCTAGATAAGAAATTTGGATTCGGAGGTTTTTTTTGTAATTTCAGACTCAGATAAATAAACAAATAATGAAAAACTAGATAATTTCATCAACCGTAGCCACATAACTTGTCCCACTTGGGCTCTCATTGTGTGAGAGCTTGGAAAGATTTTAAATTTGGACACAGCTGAAATTCAAGTAGGTGAACTTTGGCTAAGAGGGAAAACAAAACCAAGCTATGCAAAATGTCATGTTGGGCACTGTGCCTTTGACCAAAGTGTTTCAGGCAGACTCTACCTGGCAGGAACCAGCGTGACTTCATAGCATCTCACACAGCTGTACTGATTCAAACCAGCTGAGAGTCCCACATTTTTTGTTGTCTTTCTCTGAGAAAAGCTCTGTCATGGAACCTGAGCTCCTCTCTCAAAAATTGCCTTCAGCTGCTACCCTTCCCACAAAAGATTGTGAGGAGATTGGTCAAATTTTGCAGAGAGAGGCCAGACAGTTGTCTGTGTCAGTGCTTGTTACCACAGGAGAACGGATTGTGCCTCATATTTATGTTTCTGAAGCTACAGCCAGAGCGTTCTGTCTGGAGCTTGGGTCCTGGTCCCCAGCAGAACAGGCAAGGAAAGCCATGCCAATATGTAACAATGCCAGTCATAATAACAGCGCTCATAATAATAACAGTTTGAATCCCAGGCAAGGAAACCATGCCAATATGTAACAACGCCAGTAATAATACCAATGCTAATGCTAATAATAATAATAATAATAATTTTAATCCTGCAAAACCTGAAGGAAAACTTAACAGGCTCGTATTACGCTGCAGCAAAATCTGACATTTCAAAAAGGTGTGTTTCATGTTATTTCAAGACAAGAAGAGTGTTGCAAGACAGTAGCTGCAGCATGGAGATGACTTAACAAGTGCTCAGGCAGATCCAATGCTTATTGCAACTCGCCAGTAAGGAATTTCCAGTTGCTTTTGAAAACCCAGACCCATGTGTTTTAGTGTCAAGGGTCCACGTCTGTTTCTTAACCTCCTGGAGCACATGGTGGATCCCTGGGCGTGGCTCAGGCGCAGTACGGAGCAATCACTTCTTTGCAGAGAGGCCTAACAGCCAAGGCAACAAGCCTGCAAAGCGTGGAGCAGTACGAAGCTGTTAGGACAATACTGCACATCTTTCTCCGGCTACCCCATGGTGACTAAAGTTGAGGGAATACGGCCCTAGCTTTTCTGAACAAAACCTTTACTTTTCTCCGTAGCCTGAGGCAGCCTAGTTGCTGGAAGGGGGTGAAGTACCACAAGGACTGTCCCTTGGCTCCCTTCCTTTCCTTTTCTCCTGTTTGTTTGCATGTGCCCCTGGTTCTGGGCAAATACTGCCTGAAGAGCAGCAGCTATTTTTGCTTGTGAGAAAATACTTGCAAATGCCTTTTGTTTCTATCTGTCCTCCAGTCTCTGAATCCTATTCCTGGATTAATTCCAGTAAACGATTCTGGCAAATAACTTACATCATCTCCCTGGCTCTTCCCAGGCAAATTGACCTGCTGGCTTTGCCATGCTCCTCATGCTCTCAAACTTTTTTACCCTAGAGTCCCAAAAGTCATTGGTTTTGTAGGCTCACATGCTGTAGGACTAATAGCAGGAACGTTTACCTAGTGGTTACCATCTTCTGAGGATGCTGGAGGTCTTAAGAGAGACCGCTGGCTCTTTCCTTCACAGCCCACATGAGCAACCGTGTTTATGTGCCACCACCTGTATGCCTGCAATTCCTTTTTGTCTCTTTTCTCCAGGTATGTCTCAGCCATGACCACACCAGCTCGCATGTCACCCGAAGATTTCCACACACCGACTTCTCCCAAGACCCCCTCTTCCGAGATGTCTCCACCAGTTTCCAGCTTGACCGTGTCCCTCCCTTCGGTGGCAGTGAGTCCCTTCGTGGAAGAGGAGAGACCGCTGCTCCTGGTGACCCCGCCGCGGCTACGGGAGAAGTACGACCACCACCTTCAGCAGTTCAACTCCTTCCATCACAATCCTGCCCATGAGAGCAGCAGCCTGCCACCCAGTCCTCTGCGGATCGTGGAGGATGAGGAATACGAGACCACACAGGAGTATGAACCAGCACAGGAGCCTCCAAAGAAACTCACCAACAGCCGGAGGGTAAAAAGAACAAAGCCCAATGGCCATATTTCCAGCAGAGCGGAAATGGGCTCCGACACAAGCTCTGAGAGCAGTAGCTCTGAGAGTGAAACGGAAGATGAGAGAATAGGCGAGGATACACCTTTCCTGAGCATACAGAACCCCATGGCAGCCAGTCTGGAGCCGGCCACCGCGTACCGGCTGGGTGGGAGGAGTATATAATGAAGTATTCCACCTTTAAATTAAACAATTTATTTTATTTTAGCAATTCCACTGATAGAAAACAGGAGAGGGGGAAAAAAAACTTTTATAAATTAAATATATGTATGTACAAATGTGTTATGTGCCATATGTAGCAATTTTTTACAGTATTTCAAAAATGGAGAAAGATATCAATGGTGCCTTTATGTTATGTTATGTTGAGAGCAAGTTTTGTACAGTTACAATGATTGCTGTCCCATAGTATTTTGCAAAACCTTCTAACCTTCAGTTATCCTAGCTTTTTTGTGCACTGCATTATAATGACTGGATGTATGATTTGCAAGAATTGCAGAAGTCCCTCTGTTTGCTTGTAGTAGAATTCCCAAATCAAAAAGCCCTAATGGCATTCCCACCCTACCCACCTCACCAGAAAATCAGAAAAATACCAAAAAAAAACAAAAATTGAAAAAAAAAACAAAAAAACTATTTTCTTCTATAAAAAGTTTTATTTACTTTCAGTATATGAAATTAGTTTTGTCTGCTCTATGCCAGCCGAAAGGTTTGCTTCATTGAGCACGGGGATATAAGTAGATAAAGCAGCATGCTACTATTAATTACAGCAGGATAAGAAAAAATCTGCATTAAATAATGTTACTTATAGAAAGAAAGTAATACTGTGATTTTAAACCAAATATATTATTAATCAGAGGTCAGCTTGTATTCACTAGGAGCTGTCATTTCATTATTTTCCAGATATTAATTGTTCTAGTTATCCCTTAGGAAATGGGTTCAGGTTAGCTAAGGCTTTGAACCCAAAAGTCTATTAAAAAAAAAAAAAAAAGAAAAAAAAAGACAAGATTTCTATTAGTTTAAGTTAATGGGGCAAATATTATAGCAGATATCTGTAATCAAACAAGGAAGAGATCTAGCTGGAAAACAAATGCCACTAATAAAAGTGCAATCAGTTTTCACCTCTATTTTTTAATGTTGATTTTTAATAGATTATTTAGTCTTTTGTTTCCCCTCAAATTCTCCCCTTTCTTCCCCTCCTCAAAAAAAGAACCCTGACAAGCTTCTAGCAATAACTTTATTAGAGTTGCTGTTATGGTAGTAAGAGCCATTCCTGGACACAGAAGTGACTTTCAGGGAAGAACTGATTTGCTGAATGGTTAAAAAGGGTAGACGGTAGGAAGGATATAGCAGAAGTATGGAGTTCATTTCTAGTCGCCTTTATTGGTTCAACTATTTGGGGTAGGGGAGGCAAGGCTGATGCAAAGCCCATTTATGAAGGCAAGCACACCACAAGGGTTACAGCCATACAGTGCACGGATATCTGCTACGGATGTCCATATGACCAGTGATGGCCTTAGAGTCTTGGACTGGCAATGGACAAAGTGCTGTCAGTGCTGGAACGGCTGCACCCTTTCAGATAGAAGCAAATGGCCTCTTTTGCACTGAATTCCTATCAGTTTAGTCAGGGTCACTCTGCCTCTTCTCTTTGTTTGACTTTTGTTGTATGTTCAGTTGGCACAACACAGACTCAGGATTGATGTGGAAAACAAATGTTTTGCCTGGACTCTGGGGATTCTGAAAATGAGAACATATGTTCTACAGGTATTACTGGACTCTAAATAAGAGCCATGTCAAGAGAAATTTCAGCCAAACTACACTCATCCTTTGGGCCACGTTCTGGTCCCAGTTAAATGAAGAGAAATAAGTCAAGGAAATTTTATCAGATGTAAACCAGAGGAGCTAAGGGCCCGACTCAGTAAATTGTTTGAGCATATGCTTATGTTAATCCCAGCAAAACTTGTCTTCAGAGTGTGCTAGACTCCCATTGACGCATCGTGGGAATGCGTAAAGTTAGGCATGTGCTAAAGGGTTTTGCTGAACGAGGTGTCCTGTAGATATGAAAGCTAGAGGCAAAGTCTAGTAAATGAAGCTCTTTATCAGGGTGATGAAAATCAGTGAGTTGGTCACTGTATAGACCAACCATACCATGCTAAGAGGAGTGCGCAGGAGTTTGTTTGACCACCAGAACCAGCAGAAAACAAAAAAAAAACTTTAGAAAGGGAAGAAAATGATGACAAAGGTGGAAGCTAGGATGTTGGTGTAGGAAACCGAAGACTGGCTAGCTCAGCTTTGGGCTACGTAATGCCTGAAACAGCACTGCTTATTTGAGAAGCCTCTGGGAGACTGCAGTTTGTCATCTACATACTGCCAGGACTCAAGTCCTCTTTGCCATTTTCCCCTAAGTGGCATGTAGTTGACTACACCTTGCCTTTGTACTCCCTCAAAACCAAAACAAGAGCTCTGTTTAAATTCCAGATACCATATGCTCTTTTTCATCTCTTTAATCAAGCCTATTTGTATGCAATCCCATGCATAGCTCCGCAGTAACTCTGAGTCCACTAGTACAAGGGGCCAGGTAGATGTTCCTGATGCCTAACCAGCTGCAGACCACAAATTTCAAGGAGACATGTGCTATTGAGTTACCAGAGGCTCTTAGAAAAATCCTTTCAATAAGGTCTTTGATATCTCACATGCTTACAGAATGCTTACAAAACAGACAAGACAGAAAAGGGATGGCAGAGAAAGAAGGGATTTGTCCAAAATCACCCATCTTAGTGGCAGAGTAGAGATTATTGCCCAGGGCATCTGTAATCTCCTCCAGTATAGATCACCTATGAGGTCAGCTCACATTGAGGTGACTGTCATAACCTAGACAGGATGGAGAAGAACTTTACTTCAAAGTAGAGTAAATTATTTGAATTTACCGAAACTGTTATCGACTATAGAGGGCCGATACAAAACGAAGGAGTCACTGTATGTCTGGAGCTGTACCTGTGACATTTATTTAGGCAGGCTCTAGCACAAAATGTCACACCTCTCCTGTTGCAGTGCCTCAAAGTAGTGCCCAAGCTCCTACTCCCTCCCATACATATGGTCATGCACTATAGAGTATAAGCTAGCTTGATAGCTGGGGCCTTCAAATGGACCTAAGACCAAAGAAATACTATTGGGGATCTGGCAGTCTGAGCCCTTAGGTCTTTGGGGAGAACCCAGCCTTACAATACAATTCATGCAACAGCAAGTAACGGGAGTTTCCCTGGCTTGGCACTCACTGAACTGGGAGCAGAACGTGGCCCCATCACCTCTGCACTTACTTTTAGCATATTGTAGGAATGGTAGGCGTCCGCTTCAGCCAAGTCCTCACCCCAAAGTCAGCAGCTTTACATGGACCCAGGCTCTGCTGACTGTGCTGGGCGTGACGCTAGGGAGCAAACTGCAAGTAGGGAGCAGAGCCAGCAAGTCCATAAGGGACAGGCCAGCTCCTCTATTGGGGATAATTGCTCCATTTCCCAGACCTCTGTGCTAGGGCCTTTACCCTCGGGCCAGCACTCTGTAAGCCTTGCCAATCTTTGGCTGAAAAATCACGGCAAGGAGATATGTGCTTTGAAGAGGGGTAAAGTATTACAGAGGCTGTGAAGTTGTTCAAATTGTCGTGGTTTCCATGTTATTTAACTTAGACTGTGGGTTTTCTCTGTGTGTATGAATGTGTGTGTGTGTGTGTGTGTGTGTGTGTGTGTGTGTGTGTGTGTGTTTATATGAGGAAATTGTCCATGATTAAAAGGCTCCCTTCAAGGGTGCGTAGGTAGAAGATGCTGTGCACAACCTGGTACAGCTTGCCTGTTTAGCTGGTGTTGATCAGTACAGCAGCACACAAGCCCATTTCACCAGTGAAAAACTTAGTCCTTCCTCTTGGCTCAGTGATTCCTTTCCTCAACTGAGCCACCTCAACACCGCCAGGACTGAGAGAAAAATCACTGACATTATCAGGAAAACAGTGAATCTCCTCTTTCCAGTCCTCCAGAACAACCCTGCATCTCCCTGCTTCTCTCCAGCCACTATATCTTCATACACATCACGAGCAGTTACTTGTGCATCCTGGATAGCAAACTTGTGTTCCCTCCATGGACACATCTCTGGCAGTTGAACATAAGAAAAGCTGCTTCTTGGTCCTGCAGCGTGGCTACATACCAACAACTTGGACTTATTTCCAGTTTAAAAAAAACAGTACCTATGAAATGCTGCAGAGAAAGCAGACAAGGAAATGGCCACCTATCATCATTTGTAATTCTCTGCTCTACTGTAAATACATCTTGTACATACCTGGATGTTTTCTTCATCATTTACTGTCTTTATGGATTATGTGTTGAAAGAGGGTCTCTTAGTTTATTGTGTAACACTGTAAATAACATAATGTCCTTTATTATTTATGCATAGTCATCTAACATGCAGAGAAAGTTATCCTCATATTATTTTAAGAAATATGTCAAAAATATGTTGCATTTTTCTCTTTGCTTTGAAAAAAATTGTTATGTATCCTCTTTTTCCCCTCTTTTCCTTTAGAGAAAAAAAAAAAGAATGCTAATTTATTGTTCAAAAGAGAGAGGGAATGTATCTGAAGGTAAACTGTTCAAAGAACATGCCATGGAAGCCACAAGCTACTGATAAACTAAAGAATTTATTATCCCAAATACAGAGCAATAAGTAATTGTTGATTTATTTAAGGTTTTGTTATTCATTTACAGTAAAAGAGGTGCTGGAATAAATTGCTCGTGTGATGTACTGACCCAGCTGCTCAGCAGACTGTGTCAGGCCACTAGCCATCCCCTTTCTGGAACCAAATGCTATTGTAAAGGTCTTGTTTGGTCTAGCTCCAGAAATTTGTTCTGGGTGTTACATGCTTTATGTGCCACTGTTCACTAAGTTTTCTAACTCGTACCTATAGAGGTCTCTGATAGACACTCTTGTTTTTAGGTACAACATTTTTAGAGTCTTAAATTAGAATGACTAAGATTACGCAGACCTTTACTACTCAAGAGGGGGAACTTGTGACTGTAAGAGGCTGTTCTACGAAAGTGTCATATCAGTCCTCAAAAACAGTCAAAAAAGCAGATTAGATGTTAGGAATTATTAAAGAATAGCACATATAAATTCAGGGTTTGCGCAGATCT